CAATGAGGAAAGTTAAGACACCTCCCATCTGATTTGCCTGGCTATTTCATCCCATAATTGTACTACCGTAAGTCTCACACACTTCGGGGACTCCAATGACGCACTGTTTTTGCTTCTTCCTCCTCCTATTCTCTCCCCCAAAAGTAAGACACAATATGGAAAAAAATCATATAAAATGTTATCTTGGTTCTTATTTTTCCCCATATCTCTGCCCTCCATTTCACCCCCTCTACCCTTCTCTATTTACAAAGACTTTGTTTCCATTTTTTTTCTTTTTTTTCATATTTTTTGTTTTCCTTTCTTTCCTTTCCCCTACCCTTCACACTTGCCCTAGTCTATTAGCCCTTTTCTTCCTATTTCACATTATCAATTATACAACGAAATATTTTCTTACAGAAAAGTTGAAAAGATCTTTTCTATTCCCTGAGCTACTGAGGGTACAATGAACACATGTCCTGTCATTTCTACAGCCAAGGGTATTTTCCTAAATAACTATAATATCACTATCAAAATCAGGAATTTACCATTGATACAATATTGCCACCTCATCCTCAGACTCTGCTAAGGTTTGGATCTGCAATGTCCCACAATGGCCCATGTGTCAAATGTTTAGGCCCAGCATGATGCTACTGAGAGATGGTGGAAAGTTGGAATTGGAGTCCAATGTGAGGTCTTCTGACCTTTGAGGGCATGCCTTTCAAGGAGACAGTGGGAAGCCAGCCCATTCCTCTTCCTCTGCTTTTCATGTCCCAATGAGCAGCTTTACTGTGCCATATTCTTCCACCATGATATACTGCCTGCGACAGGCCTAAAAGAAACAGGGCCAACCAACTATGAACTGAAACCTCCAAAACTGTGAACCAAAATAAATCTTTCTTCTTTTTTTATTATTTCAGGTATTTTGTTACAGTAATGGAAATCTGAATAACACAGACCCATAAAAGTTGCTGGTTTCCCCAACAACACAGTTTATCTGCAGCACAAGGATCCAGTTTAAAATCACATGTTGCATTTAGTTATCTCATCTCTTTCATGTCCTTCAGTCTGGAACAGTTCCTCTACCTTTCCAGGCTTTTGTGCACTGGGAAATTATAAGCCAGTTATTCTGTACAGTAACCCTGGGTTAGCTTTGTCTTCCTGTTTCCTCATGATTAAGTTCAGATTATAACATCTTTAACAGGAATTTCACATATTTTCTCTATTTTCATTGTTTCATATGGCACATGATTTCAATTTGTTCCTTTTCTGATATTCACTCGGATCACTTCATGAAGGAGCTGTCAGCCTATAGAGTTATATTTTCCCATTTATAATTAAGACATTTTACAAGGAAGTCCTTTGAAATTATTTAAATACTATGTTTTTCATCAAACTTACAAACAATTTATTTATTTGGATCAGTATGGACTCAGGATTAATATTTTATTCAGTGGACTGTAATCCATTATTATCATCAGTTATCTTGATGCTAAAATTGTCCTGTTTGGCCAGAAGGAGCCCAGTTAAGCTAGTTGCTGTGTCAGTCTTATGTGTTCCCATCATTCCTTGAACACTGTCATATTATGGATGCTATAAATCATGCTAGGCTCATCTTAACTTTTCCCTCTCCCAGCCACGGTACTAACCATTTCTCAAAGGAGCACTGGCTCTCTTGGTGGAGAATGGTGTTTAGAAACCAAGATCTAGTGGCCAACTGTGCTTATTCCTTTTAGGGCATTGTTTTTCCTAGGAACTTTGGAATACATATATGTACACACACACATATATCTACCCATATCTGTCAATTTATCCACACATGTACATATATATAAAAGCCATGAGTTCAGGTGGAGACCTCCAAATTTAGTATATCATCTCAGAGTTTTAATTTTCTTCTTTTCCATATTTGAAATTACCTTTCCATCAGTGTGGAGATGCCTCAAAGAACTAGGACTAGAGGTCCCATTTGACCCAGCTATTCCCCTACTGGTTATCTTCCCAAAAGAATGAAAAGAATCATACCACAGCAATATATGTGTAGCCATGTTCATAGCAGCAATTTTGTAGTAGCTAAAACTTGGAAACAGTCTAATTGCCCATCAACTGGAAACTGGATAAAGAAGATGTAGTGTTTTTTTTTTAAATAAAATGGAGTACTACTCAGCCATAAAGAATAAGAAATTAGAGACATTTATAGCTAAATGGGTACACACTGAGGCCATACTCTTAAATGAAATAAATAGAACAGATGTGTAAATACCAAATAGTTTCTCTGGTGTGAGAAAGTGAAAATGTAAATAAAGATCAAAAGGAATAATAGATAATGTAAAATAGGAAGAAAAGGTCCAAAGGGGAGGGGGAAGTAGGAGGGGTTGGGGAAAGGAAAGAAGGGAAAATAATTAATATGAGAAAAGGAATAAATGGAAACAAAATGTTTGTAAATAGGGAAGGGTGGAGGGGTTGAAGGGAGGGCAGGGGAATGGGGGAAAAATAAGAACCAAGATACATTATGTAAAGGTACAAATTTTTGATGATGAATGTCATATTACATTCCTAAAATGTACCAAAAATTAATAATAAAAAGAAATTACCTTTTCCAAAGCGAGAGACCTAGCTCCTGCTATCCTTAATACATTTAGTTCATTGATAAATCTCAATAAACCACCATTCTCCCATACAGATCTTCTTCACCCATTATGCCAAACAGTCCCCAACCCTTTACCTGTATATTCTACTCAGCTTGCATCCCTTAGCCAGTCAGCCCTCCCCACATCCAAACCCCAAGGGGGAGTTGAAAGGCTCAGAGCATTGCTCCAAGCCTTGGGTCTTTCATCTGTAACATGGGGATAAACACCTCCCTCATAGGTTGTGGGAGACATACAGAAGGGGACATCAGACACCTTTCATTGAACACTACATGCCCAAACCTGAGGTGAAGCCTTATGGGTATCATGGACTCCCTGATATCCAGGAACCCAGAAAACAGCTCCCCACCTCCGGATTATTATACATGCTGTTCCTTCTGCCCTAGATTATCTCCTGGCTTCCATCTTTCCTTTTTCCAGGTCTGTACTCCGACGTCCCCTGTATATCCTTAATAAAAATAACAACATACTACCCACTTGCTCTTTCCCGATCCCACCTGAACTCTATACATAATACTTTTCACCCTGTGATGTGCCATATATTTTACTGACCAATTGTACTAAATCAAGAATGTTGTCAGTTTTGTTCTCTTTTGTATTCCCAGAACCTAGAACAGCAATTGGGCACATAATAGGTTGCTCAGAAAATTCTTGTTGAAAAATGACTGAAAGTGGGATCCTTTACACATATTGTGGAAATGTATAGCTACTCTGCAAGATCAGCATTGACCCCATTTATTGACTATAATACTGTAAGTGCTGAGGCTCAAGGAAACAAATGACTTGTTCAATATCACACAACCAGAACTAGGGAGCGCCAGGCCTTGAAATCAAGTCTTCCAGGCTCTAAAACCCACAGTTCCTGGATAGAGCCCTCATAGTAAAAAAAGGAAGGGGGGCATGGTGGCACATGCCTGTAACCCTGGCTATGTGGGAGGTGAAGGCAAGAGGACCACAAGTTTGAAGTTAGCCTGGGAATTTTTTTTTTTTTTTTTTTTTTTTTTTTTTGCTGAGGATTTAGCCTGGGGGTCCCATTGCCGGCCTCGAAAGCACAAGGGCCTGAGTTTGATCCCCAGTACCAAAAAAAAAAAAAAAAAAATTTTTTTTTAAGGGCTGGAGATGTAGCTCAGTGAGAAAGCACTTGCTTAGCATGCCTGAGGCCTTGGGCTCAATCTCCAGTACCCTCCCTAAACACAAAAGAGGAAGAAGTAATTTCACTCCCAAGACAATGACTTCCAAACAGTTCAGCTACCCAGTCACCAAAGACAGCCTACTGAACTCACAATCTAAAACATACTCCACAATTGCCTGCACAGAGAGCTCACAACTTGAGACAAAAGCAGAACAGAGACCATATACACTGTGACAAAGATAGACACACACACACACACACACACACACACAAAACCCAAAGTTTTCAACCACTGAAAACAAATTAAAACTACTCAAATACCTTACACTTTATACAGACCCCAAGCCACCTAGATACCTCCCAACCTAACATGAAGATTCCCAAAAGAGAAACACAGTTCAAGTAGCTCAGAAATATCGCATAACCTGGGCTGGGGATGTGGCTCAGTGGTGCGGCACGCACCTGTCAAGTGCAACATCCTTAGTTCGATTTCTGGTACCAAAAAAGAAAAAGAAATCACATAACCTTAAGATAAAGTCTATGAACAAATCAAAGAACCTTAGAACCTGGAGAAAGACCCTCAAACAGTTCATATACTCTACACCTCAAGACAAAGTGCCCCATCAGCAGCTCAGAGACATTATTATAACATGGGACCCAGAAATGAAGCTCAGGAACCTCAAACTGGGGTGCACAGACACCTACATAGAAATCACACATTCAGGGACACAAATGCCCCAAATGCTCAGGAAATGAACACCCAGATGATATTCAGGAGCACAAAATCCACTCGCATAAAATATCCCACGCAGACACAATCTCCCAAATACCTTAGTTATCAAATATACCCAAACAGCATCTGAGATGTCCTACCAAGTGATACACATCCCCCAAACTGCTTTACCCACTTTCCTAGGGAGACACATCAAACAAGCTCAGAGACCTCTTCCTGAACAGTAATTGAATGTAGGAATGATTGTGGGGTGCCAAAAGGGCCAGACCATGCTTGTGAATGAATTACGGATAAATAAGATTGATGAATTACGGATAAATAAGATTGAACGAGCTCGCGTGAAGAAAACACGTCACATCACGCGTCCACACCCCTCACCCTCTGCCGGAACTCCAGTTCTGCCGTCATCGTGCCGGCCCCCAAAAGACTGTCAATCGGAACTAGGTATTGAAAAGGGGGCGGGGCCTAGGGATCCATCCATCCGGAACCATTTGGTACCTCGGAAATGCTTACTTGTAGCTCCCTCGGTGACCAATCACCATCCAGAAAGGAAATGGATTCCTGCTGCGGTCTCCATTGGGTCAGAAGAACGGAGTAGGAACAGACCACACACGGGGGTATTAGTGCTCCTGTTGGAAACGGAGAGCTTTAAGTAGACTTCAGTGCTGCCACACACAAGAGGATTATTCCCAAATGGATGCCCCTCCCTAGTGATTCCTTTCAACGCGCACTGTCCTTACCTCTGTTCCTGTCAGTGGTACGACCCAGCACGAAACTGTTCCACCTCGAGCGCCCCTTGGTGGTGCAAACCCGCAAATGACTGCAAACCCTTTCTGGCCCATTCCCTAAGAATGGAAAGGCAAAATCAGGACGAAAACCCGAACTCCATCCCCGTTCTCTGCAGTCTTGAACATAAGGAGAAATCTCCCTACACTGAAATTTACCTCCTTACAGTGTCCGCCATGATAACAGGGAAGGTTGTGAAATGTTTTCTGTGTGCTGGACATTGTGCTCACTGCTGTCTCCCTGGGTAATGCAGAATAGATCTAGGCTGCTTGCCTAAGAACCCAGCCACAGCCCCCGCAAGGGGCAGGTGGGGTGGAGCGTTTGACAAGTGAGACGGCCTGTTGTGGGCCTTTACTGTCAGTAATGGTGAGGAACAGCAGAACCTTCGAGTTCTCTCAGGATAAGGACCATCTCCTAGGGGCAAAAGGGACACTAGCCCAAATAAATCTTGTCATACTTGGTCATGTTCCCTAGCAGAATCTTCGACTTGTCTAGCTGTGTCTCCCACCATAACTTTGCATTTATTCATTCACTTGTTCATTTATTCTGTCCAAATTATGTGTCATGAACCATTATGGGTATTAGGTGCATATCGCTGTATGGAGAGAGACAAAAATCCCTGCCTTCATGGAACTTCCATTCCATGGAAATCATACAGCACAAAAAATTGTGAGCATGTAATTTGTCAGGTGGTGGTAATCGCTGTAATGAAAATTAAGTCAGGTTGGGTGCAGTGGCGCACGCCTGTAATCCCAGCCCTCGGGAGGCTCAGGCAGGAGGATTTCTGTATGTTCGAGACTAGCCTGGGTTACATAGTGAGTTCCAGGTCAGTCTCAACTACATAGTGAGACCCTGTCTCAAACAAACAAACAACAAAAAAAAAAAAA